TTCCAGCCTCAATTCTGAAAGAGCAGAATTATTTCAGGTTACCCTGAGTACCACTGAGTGATTTGTCAGGAGAAATTCGAGCTACCTAAAGACAAATGAAAACTGAATCAAACCAGTTAAATTATCTGCCCATCTTGGAACAGACTGAACAGTTCTCTTACTTAAAGGGCTGAAACTCTGATGAGTTTCATTTTCCTGTCAGCATCATTTGGAAACCTTACGGGTCCTAGGGAGTGAGAGTGACTCTCTTTTTGCTTTGAGTGTTGGCTCCCTGCTGGCAGGGCATCCTTCGTTCGCCTCGGGTTGTCTGTCAGAGGTTATCTGCTCGGTCCTGTGGCCACCCAGGATCCTCCAGGCTGCTATTTGGCCTTGAAACTGGGGCAATGTTCATTTTAGGACCTGCCTGTGAGTCCCAAACATGTGGCCCTGACCTGGTTCAGGTCAGGGAAAGCCCTGAAGGACAGGATGGTGACTGGAGCAACCTCTACCACCAAGGAGTCCTTCCAGGCAGGATGCAGACCCTGAGGCATTGTGAAAAATTTTGTGGCTTTTTACCCACTCTCACCCACCACCACGTGCCTGTGTCCATTGTTCCTCCAGCTGAACCCGAGAGGATTCATTTCACCTGACAGTTAATATCAAGCAGAGTTGGTCACCTCTGTAGTTTACAGGGACAAGGTTACTCCACAAGGACACTGAGCCCAGCCATCCTACACACCTGGTTTAACTACAGTTACTCACTCCCAAGAAACATCCTCAGGTGTCTGCAGTAGATGAAATGAGTTCCAGCCTTCAAGTCACATGCACACTGGGGTAGCAACAGGTAACACTAACCTTGGAAATACATCTGGTACATCTGGTCACTTCAGTAGTTCAGGAGGGAGGAGCCCAGGGGAGATTATCTTTTATCCATGAGGATGTGAGACCCATTTGTGGTAGACAATGTTGTTAATGGCTCATCCTGTCTTCCTTATTGATGAAGAATCTCTGGGTACCTCAAGGGTTTCTCAGTTTCTCCAGACAGCAGTTGACCTCGTTTCAGCTAAGCATCAAAATGCACTGGCAATCAAGGTACTATTGATATAAGCCTAATCTACTTGGGGATTTCACCTTGAAAAGGAAAATAAGTGCTACTTTCTTATTATTATTATTATTTTCTGCTGTTAAGTTATTATAATGAAAAGGCATCAGAGTCCTTACCATTAAGCAATACACTTGTAGGGCTGAGAATATTGGATCAGGCTCTGGTAAGGAAGCCAGCCAGCCAGCTACAGAGTGAAATGACACTAGGATTAAACAAATTTCCTTGATTGCATGCTGCCATTTGCTTCTTTCTCTGCTGACCTTCCCCAAGGCACGCAAGCTGCACCGCTATGTGGGACTCTGGAGAGGATGTCTTGAACAGTACATTAGCCCTATTACTGAAGGAGCTCTGCATGGGAAGTATGTTACGTGACTTGTCCTTGCCTCATTTTGGATGTTTTCTTTTTTCCCTCCCCCATCCCAAGGAGAAAGTGTCAGTCAGAATCTGTAAAATTCCCTGATTTTACAAGATGTAAATGTACAGCAGGTAGGCATGAGCCATATAGATGCTTAGATCCATGGCAGGGCTAAGCAAACACCTCAGACTCTGTCCTCTATAGGAAATAAACCAGGTAAGGGTCCATCCTGGTGCCCACAGGTTGAATGGTAACATATGGACCATGTCCATGCAAATAAACTCTTACCCACCAAAACAGGGTGGCTTTGCCCATCGTGCCTCTCAGGAACATCCATGGCACTTCTTTACTCCAAATTATGCCTAGGTATTGCTGGGAGAGAGCACAGACTGAAGCCAGGCTGTGGAGTGCATTAAAATCTTAGTGGTGTAGGTGATTAGAGAGGATGCTTGAGCCTGCAACCTAATTGTCCTTACTTCCTTGGGGTGGTAGAGATATCAGTCCTAGAGCCCTAAAGCCATCATGAGCAGTCAGGGGTCAGGATTTCACAGGATCTTATCTATCCAAAGACTTTAGAGCCAAATCACCTTTTCAAATGTCATTGAATCTCAGGCTTCCTTTCAATCAGTTTTTTGCAGAAGGGCATTGGCCTCCTGTGTCACGTAGGCTGGTGAACATCTGCGAGCAAGGGATTGCTTGAGGCAGTCCTCCTGACCACACCGACGTCTCAGTGACTTTCTAAAGTCTTAGGTGACTTAGACATACTAAAGCGTTTTTCCCTCTGGTCTCTGCTTACTTTCCCCCTCTTGTTCCTGAGGACAGTGAGAAGACTGAAGGACAGCTTTTATTTCACATGATTTTGAATTGTCCCATTGCAAGACAACTTTAAAGGGGGCCAGGAGATTGGAGTTACCCTTCCTCATAATCCAGCCCTTTCCAAATCAATCAAGATGACTACCTAAAATTACATGAGGAACAAGTACCAGGAGGTAGCTTAGGTGTCACCATGCCTGTAGAGCCTCATTTGTACCCATTCAAAGTGAGTATTTTCCAAGAAGGCAGCACAGCTGTCAATGAAATGCCTGGGATGAGACCTACAATTTCAGAGCCAAACACTATCTAGATGATAGGAGAAAACAGAGGCAACGTGAAGGGAATCTGACAGCACAGCTTGAAGGCATGAGATAAAACTGCCTTAAAACTGCATTTTCCTGAGTGCTATTCAAACCAGACAATACTCCGTTACTGGGGAGATGTGATGACATTGAGGTGGAAGGCCTGACCCATGCTTTGCTGGAGCCGCCGATGCAGTGACCGAATCTTGACGTCTTCAGTTGTTTTTCTGGGAAGGGACCTGTTTGGTTTGCGCGTCTCCTTCCAATTCCTACCGCGTCTGCAGCAGTGCCATAGGGCATTTCTGCTGACCACCTTAGTTTGCTTGGACAAATGCCAGGGTCAAGAATGCTTTTGAGGCAGTTTACGATTTCGTGTGATGTCTCTCTGACTTCAGTGGGAGTCAACAGATTGTCTTGCATGTCAGGGGGGCATGTGCCCTTGCATATATTTCAAGCCAGCTTGGGGGGAACTGAGCAAGGTCTGGAGACAGCTTACTCTGCTGGATCCTCATTAGTTTTCCTCAGCTTTGGCCTTTCTCACCTTGGTGATGTACTTTTATTTTGTTTCTTTCAGGGGGAGGGGGGATGAACCGAGGGAGGGCCTGGTCCTCTGTTCATTTAGCATAGCCATAGTTGCATATGTAAATGAGTTTTCATTGGAAAGACAGGGCATCTGCTCTCAGTCTTTTATCTGCTGCAAAGGGACTTAGGGTATCAGGACTAATCCTTTGGTAAAACTCAGTCCAGGCTTCCTAGTGAATCTGAAAATTAGTTTAATTTTGTCAGCCGCTTCCCCAGGTTGGGGGCTGAGACCAGTGTAATGTAAATTCCCTGGGATGCCACCATGGTGGATTTTAACTTGTGCAGCTTTCCTGCCAGTTCACTTAGGACATGCTCCGAACTCTTTGCCAACAGCATAAAATGGATTTTCTGCATGTTAAACCGAGTGCTGTGAATACAAACATTGGAACATGCTTAGATAAGCGTTACTGTACAGTAGACAAGTTTCTTACTTCATTCCCAGTGTAAGGACAGAAGGTCAGATATTAGCAATGCAAGCCGAAAGGAAAACCACAGATGTTTAAAGTCTAAAATTGTTTAGAGGAAATGAAGTTAAACTTTTGCTAGCCATTGCTCCATTAGAGGATCTCTGATATAAAGGGGAGTTAGAGAGCAAGCATCAAGTCAAAATTATAAATATACGTACATAGAAGTATAAAAAACACATATGTATACATATTATATACATGTGTGTTTACACATACATATGTAAAATTATACACATATGTATATAATTCTGGTTTTCCTCCAGGCCGTACTTTGGGGAGATTTAATCTCATGTTAAGGATTTGGCCTTAGAGGATCAAATATGAAACTCTCTGAAGCCAGGAGCATTTCGGTGATTTGGATCAGGCACAGAAACAAAATCCTGAGCTCATTGTTGACAGGACAGATACATCCATACTTAAAAAAGCAGTTTCCTTTGGCTTCATGAGAGCAAAACTGGTGTCCTGGTGAGAAGTTATTTTGGCTAGAAATAAGTACTTTTAGCCTATTGAACTGTCCCTTTGATTTCTCATGCCTCAGTGCAACTCACACAAAACAGAGCCGGGTGGGACAGAAAACAGTTGTTGTTCCTGTGCACAAGGATAGGAAGAGGTCCCAGGGCTCAAGCAAGACCTGTTCGTGCATCCATTCCCTCCAGGTGGACCTGCATGGGGACGGTCACGCTAACAAGCCTCATCACAGCCCTTTAATCTGGCACCATACGGCAGCCTCGGAGGTCTCAGTGGAAGTAGCACACCCAGAGCAGCACTGGGGTTTTGAGGCCACATCCAGAAGAGTTTTAATTCCTCTGGATCAGATCTGATCTTGCCCTCAGGCAGTGGTTTTTTTTCCAGTCAATTTAGAGAGAGCTGGTTCCTTGTTTTTCCTTCAGCTGGGTTTTCAAAAGGTAGTGAATTACTTGCCGAGGGTGAAGGTCAGCCACAGAAACTGATGAGTAAACACATCAGCTGCCTGGCCTTTGTAATTGCAGCTTTCAGAGAACCGAAAATGGTCCTTTTATCCCTTTATCTTTTTTTTTCTAACTTCTTTCTTTAGAGTGTTTAAAAGAAGGGGCGATTGTCCCCAAAATGGCAGTGTTGTATGTGTGGGAGGATGGAGGAGGCATCATACCTGTTCTCTAACACACCCCCCACCATCAGCAAGCCATCTCAGGAAGTCCTCTGTCACCACACATTGTCATCTGCTCCTGTCCTGCTCACGGTATTCTTTTTTTCACCTCTGTAAGCGGGGGTGTATTTGGAGAGCAGGGCAGTATGTGTGCATACATGGGGATTTCCTCATGCGATGATACCAAAGACAAGCTGATTTTGGTGCCCTGATAGGTTATTCAGTGCTTATGTTCTCACCTTGGTATGTATTTCCTTTCTTCTTCAGGAAAATGGGAGGCACTGCTCCAGTGTGACCAGTTTCTAAGGTACAGCAAATAAAGACCACCCGTCCCATTCCCTCAGACACCTCCCAGTATGGATGGTTTGATCGAACAGAACGGTGTACTAATGCACAATAAGATAGCTGAAGCCGGGAAAAGGAATGGTTTAATTAACACAAGGAACTTAGTGGCAGAGTCTCGAGATGGTCTGGTCTCTGTGTACCCAACCCCCCAGTACCAAGGCCACCGAGTGGGGAGCCTTTCCTCGCAGAGCTGCCTGGAGAACAGCAGGAACGACCCCGTGCAACAGCTTCTGGATCCCAACATGCTGCAGCAGGCGGTGGAGTCTCACTACCGGCCCAACATCATCCTCTACTCGGAGAACGTGCTGCACTCGTGGGGGGAGAGCATCAGCTCTGAGTGCTGTGAAACCACCTTCATTGAAGACCGTTCCCCCACCAAAGACAGCCTGGAGTACCCAGATGGCAAATTCATTGACCTCTCAGCAGACAACATCAAGATTCATACCCTCTCCTATGATGTGGAGGAAGAAGAGGATTTCCAGGAGCTAGAGGTCAGATGTTATTTGGAATCTGTGGGGAAGGCTGGCGGGGAGGAAAAAATCTGGGGTTGAGGGTGCTGCTTCCAAGTGCTGGTCTGCACAGGATCGGCTATATTGCTCTCTCCTCTGGCCAGGATCATTACTTGTTGGGTAAAGTCCTGACTCTGCAGATACTAATGACAAAATTCCCACTGACCCTAATAGGGATGAGAGTTTCCCTTCTGCCTCTATAAGGGGCTGGTCACAAACAGAAGAAGACCCATGTGCTTAAATGCTTTCTAAGGTCAGGGCCAGGAGGATCTGTCCACTTATGTGGAGCTTGTCCTGCATAGCAGGCCAACATCATCTGTTACTTTCTCTTGATTTGACTTGGGCGTAAAGCTGGTGGTTTTGCTTACTGGCTCAGCCAGGACACATTTCTGTCTTTGAATGAATACACAACCAAAAGTCTTTGGGTTTCTTGCCACAATGAATCCCTTCCCTCTGAAACCAAAAAATCTTTTCTGATGAAATGAAACACTTCATTAGACCCAAAATGCAATATTTCTTTTTAGGTTCCCATCCTTCATTGATTGTTCACGCTCAAGTAAGGCACGTTTTGCTTTCTACACCACACAGACTGTGGAAATCGACTTCATTCTTTCTTAAATGATAAATTCTTAACTTAAAAAAATCACTTTCTTTTCGGTTGAAACCAGCTGCCCAACAATAGCACAGGTTTATGTTTGGCATTGCAAGTAGGGATGGAGGGTGCGCGTAGTACTGCTGATCCCAAAACTTCGTCCAGCGCTAGTCACAAGCTCCTACTTAGCAAAGACCCGCTCACCTGTCTGAAAGGAAGGCATAGCTTCGATTTGAATGTCCCAGATGAGATCAAGAGGCTATTTTCTTGTGTTTCTCTCTTGCAGGAGTTTTCTCCGCTGAGACATAACAAGTTCTAAAGCTTCTATTTTCACCTCCTATAATACCGGTGTCTCACCCTGTGATCAGCACAGGGGCAGCACAAAAGCCTGACTTTTCTCTTTTTCCTCTCTGTATTGCTCAGGTAGGGAGAGAGAAGTGTTCTTCCCAGTTTGTGCCAGTAATGCAGTACCCAGTACCCTCAGAGAAAGACAAAAAGTTTCTCTCCGAGGCCTGCGATGGTGTTGGCTCAAATCACACCCTTCTACAACATTTCAGAACTGGCTGTGAGAAGTCTCGTTTTTTTAACCGAAACAAAATGCCTGGATGCTGCCTCTTTACCCTAGCTTCTCTCACACAGTACTTTTGGTGTGAGTGTCCGCAGCAAGCATATAATTGCCCAGTGGTGTCACTAATACATCTGGCCTGACATTTTGGCAGCTAAAAAAATTCCTCTCTCTAATCAGTCCAAATCCAGCAAGACGTTCTGTAGCCAGCTGCCAGAGGATGAGCTAAAAAGGCCAGAAAAATAGGCAGGACAAGGAAAAAAGTTTCCTACCAAAAATTGTTTCCCTTTTCTCGGTGGGTTTTTTAAGTAGTCTTTACAATGTAGGGCCCTAAGTCAGAGTACCTCTTGAAAGGAGTACCACAGGAAGCTCGGGTCGGCTTTCCACAGAGAACACGTGCTCCTAGAAAACCACGTGTGAAACTGGAGGTATGAGGAAAGTGACTTCATCCTTCCCCTCTCCAGATCTCAAGGAGGGAAAGGAGACAGAGTCTTTACCTATGTCTTTTCAAACGGCGGGGTGTCTTACTGTGATGGTCTGTGCATCATTTTCCTAAGCTTCTCCTTCTTCCTGTCCTATATGTCCCACTATACCCTCCTAAGGTCGCACATGTCCCTCTTAAATGTGCGTACTGCATCTAGCCCCACAGATGCCCAGCCTTACTTAAGCCATTTGGGTGTTACTGTATTAATAAACAAAAAGGTGTATGATAGCCATCCTGACCTACATGTGCGAAGTGCTCAGAGGAGGCAGAAATGCACAAAGTATAAACCAATAAGTCTTGCTCTGTTCTGATTTGGGGTTTCTCCTCCAGCAGGAGAATGGAAAAAGTAGGAGATGAGGCAAGACGTGGGGAAAGAGCGGTCTGATCAGAAATGCATGCAAAACCTCTGCTTCCAGCCTGCTATGGGGCTCCGTTAGTGTGGCACGCAGACAGCACAGTGCAGTGTTGTGGTTTTCACGCTCCTCCATGAACCAGACCTAAATGACTGACCTGCTGAGCAGCTGCGCTGAGCATGAGGAGTCTTAGCCCTGGGAACAACCGGTGGCCTCCCAGGAGGGTCCCGAGGCTTCCAGTGCAGCTGGTACTGCAAGAAAGTTGGGATGGAGAGGAGGGAAACGTTTAACTGCACAAGACCAGCGAAAGAGGTGGCTGCTGTGTTGTGCCCATCTGGACAGATGCTGCATCTACACAGCCAGATGCACGAGGGACTCCTGGGCTTGGCTAACGCAGAGGTTTGCTGGAGACGTGGCTGAACGTGCTGAGACTCCAGGAATGGAAGAAAAGAAGCCTTTGAGGACAGCGGTCACTGAGTTGGGGACTGAACCGTGCTGGATTGTTAATTGCATAAAAATACCTCTATCTATCCGAATGAGAAAAACAGTATGTGAATCGCACAGCATGAGTCTGGCCCATTACACTGCTTTTTTTACCAGTCATTGACAGGGGCCAAATGCTTCTTTACATTACTGATAGGCTCAAAGTGAGGCAGAAAGGGTTAGTATCAGGGCTAGAAGCATTCTGAAGGAGAAGAGCAAGAAGAGGTAATACAAGAGAGATGCAAGGTTTTGCATCCACACTGTGAAAGACTTGAAGAATCCTGCCATCCAGGATACACGGCACATTGCTGAATATCTTGTTTTATTGACTGCCATGCCACAGCTCATAGAAGGATGAGAGCTGCATAGTATAACAGCAGATCACGGCTCAGTTCTCGTAAAGCGTTTCCGCCTTTACACATCTGCTTTGGCACCACTTTCTGGGAGAAAAATTCTAAAAACCGCCCCCTTTCTGAAGGGTCTGAACAACAGTCTGTTGTCTGGGAAGGGGCCTGGGGCACGGTACCATGTCTGGGTCTGCTGGCCTCAGCTTTGAGAGAAGGCCAGCGATGAGTGACCAGCTGGAGAAGAGCAGCTCCCTCAGCCAGTGCAGCTCTTTGCCGTGTGGACTTTTGCTGTGGGCAGTGGTGGCTTGAGGCCACTGTGAAACCAAACGAATTCAGATAAAGCCAGGAAGAATTTAGATGGCCTCTGAGTGCCTCTGTTGGTCTGGGAGCTGTTTGCTGTGTGATGATGCTGATTTAACGTTGGCTGGGAAAAGCAAGAAGTAAGAGAAAGAGTATATTTGCAAACCTTAGCAAAAGGGGGGAGCTTTGTGCAGAAAAGCTGCTGTCTCTCAAAAGCCCAGGGCCACCTCCTATTCTATGTGCATCAGGGCAAGGCAAGTGGATTACCAACCCAGGCATCTCAATAAAACGCCCTCCGTGAGACCCTGGGGTTGTGAGCTGTATCCATTCTTGCCCTTCCCATGTCTCCCTGGCACTGCCCTCGTTAGTGCCAAGCACCTGTCCAGACGTTTTCAGGACTGGATCTTTAATTTCTTAGGAAGTGGAGAAAAATTTAACTCAGCCCTTTGCAAGACGTCCACCCTGTAATACTGGAACCCACAGCCACATGCAGGGAACAGCTTTTATGGAACCTGCCAGTCCACGTGTTTCTGCCAAGGTTTTGTTTTTAAAGAAAGAGAGCTGGGCTTTTGAAAACCAGAAAAAATGTTGTTTTTCCTGCAGAAAACTGCTGCAGAGAAACTCTCTGGAAAACAGCAGCTATTTTGAGTGACAGTGATTTGGTCTGGGTTTGACCAAATAGCCCCCCCCCCAGCCAGGTTGTGGTGGTTGCTGCTCTGTTACCTCTCATCGCCTTCAGGATGGGTCTGCCAAGCTCAGCAGTGCCTCCAGTGAGTCACCAAAGCCTGCAAGGAAGCATCTCCTTCCCTTTCCAAGCCTGGGGACTCTGAAAAATCCTGGGAGATGTGGCAGAGGAGCAGGAGACATCCAAACTAGGTGTCGTACCCATTGCTACAACAGTTTAGCCACGTTTAACTTCTTGTTTGTTTGTTTGTTTGTTTTTACCAGCAGCATTTCTCAGGTACTGGTGTAATGTTATTCAGATTGCCTATGAAAATCATAATTGTCTGGAGGGAAAAACATTTCTGAAACAGCTCTCATTAGCATATACTGCCCCACTTTTCTCCAGCAATTACCAGGCATGAAAGCAGAAGGCTGCACATTCTGTCAAAGCTTTAAACTTATCCTTTCTGTGCCCATCCCTGACATCAAATCATTCCGTATTTAGGTATTGCTGGAACGCTTATAAATATCTTATGAGTTCTTTATGCCACTACTAATGGACAGACAACTTGTTAAATGGGGTGGCAGTGAAATACTATACCAGTTCCTAGCTGAAAAACCATCCTGTTAGAGTTCATGTGTAAATGCACTGCCATCTTTTATCCAGAAACATCATTTGTCATATTACGCTCCTGCTAGTCTTCCTCCTAACCCCTAGAGAGCTGGCTTATTTAGAGAAACCCAAGCTATTGATGGTATGCAGGACTGCAACAAGGTGAATTATTCATATGTGAGGCATAAAAGAACATATCAGAGTTCTCTCTTAAAAACCTCTTTCTTCTCCTGAGCAATGTCTGAAACAGCCTCTGCAAAATGAAATAAACAGAATGTTCTAGGGAGTAAAAGAAGAAAAGAAATGTAGTGCTTTCAAGCTAAACCTTCCTTCTTTTTTTCCCTTGCAAAGAGCTTCATGCTGCTGTGAAACTCATGCCTCCAACCTGAGCCTAAAAATATAGAGAGACAGAAGGTGGATCCTAAGCCGCCTTCTTTTCCAGGTAACCCCTCTTCTCAGTATTCCCAAGGACCTCCTGGTGTGTCTCTTCTGCAATGTGAAAAAGCCCTGGAGGGGGTTTGTACACATCGAGTCCCACAACAGGTTTGTTTTATTTTAATGTTGCCAGCTGTTAGCCTTGCA